AAAAAAAAATCCTTTGTAACTATTAAGAGAAATCTCCAAAGACCAAGCAAGGTCTTAAAAAAGGGCATTTTTCTCCTTTTTATGGCTAGGATAAAGTAGGGATAATAAAATGGAAAAACAGAGAAAAGGAAAAAGAAAAGGGAAAAAATATAAAGAAAGAACTGTTCCACTTTTTGCTAAAATAATCTCTCCTGTTTTTATCTATATGCACTTTTTTTTGTATTTTGTTTTATAAAATGCAAAAATTAATAACAATGAAAACAAAAACAAATAACAACAAGAACACAATTTCCCAAAATGGATGTCTGACCACGCTAAACTTATTGCTGTTTTCTCAAGCTTGACCACAGTCTCTCGCATACTTTCAGAATAAAATATTGAAAACTGAATATTCAAACTGCTGAAGAGAGCAATTCCATGATCGCATACTGCAGAAATATCTATACTTAGCAGCACTGTCTTGCCTTTCAGAACTCTTCTATAATTATTTATTTCTTCAGGATTCATGCCTAATCTGAGAGTTGTACAATAAACACTGAACATAGTACTAATGTCTCTCCATTTAGAGTTCTAACACAATTACATATATTCAGAGGCACAGGTATACACAAGTATTTTATTTTTCCTTTGTTTCTTCAGAAATGTTTAATTATGCAGCCCCCACATTGTAAAAGTGCATTCACATAGTTGGGGATATTGTGGTCTTCCATGGAACCTTCCTTTTAAAGAGCTATTCTCTCCTAACCGTGATTAAAGATATACAACGTAATACAAAACTGGGTGCTGGGCACATTAAAGAAAAAGAAAGAAAACTTAAAAAAAAAAAAAGTTATTTAGTGGGTACTACGTGACTTAAAAATATTATGGCCTCACATAAAATAATAATAATATCAGGTAATATGAGCATAAGCATCTGGACCCTGTTTTAATCAAACATGAAAGGGCATTAGTAAGTCACCTGGATTTGCACTAAATCTCTATATATTCTTTGGATGCTTGTATTGTAATATGAATCTCACTATAGTTATGGCAGGGAGTGTCATTTTTTCATGATCTTTTAATTTGATTCATTAAACTCTGGTGCATTTTTAAAGCTGCCAAAGAATCTGATTGCCTTTATACAAATAATGAATGTAGAAAGTACATTATGAGTCACTTTCTCTAAGAAATATTGACCCAACCTCTTAGTAACTAAGCTTCACAACTCCAATTACACATGCAAACAATTTCTAAAAGAACTTTTATACCCAGATTTAGACTATAAGATGAAAAAGCTGTCTCACAGAATTTGATGCAAGATTTACCTTTGCCAATGTGAAAAAAGTTACTGAGCATTGTTCAAGGTATCACTTTTATATTTCCAAAACAAAAAAGTGATTTATAGTAAATTTAATGACACTATAATGCAAGAGATTTTCCTGTCCTTGACAGAATTATCTTCCACGAGCTAAACAATAAATATCACTGGCCTTATCCATCATCTGTTACTTCTTTGGCCTCCTGAATACTCACTGACTACATTCTCATCAATAATCACAAATAGTGTTAACATACACAATACTTAACATATTCCTTTTAATCTTCAATAAATAAAAATTCATTTCAGAACTATAAACTTCTCACTGTTGAAAAATAATTCAGCTGCATACTTATATCAACCATCATTCCTAATTATACCCCTATCAGATGAAATAATATGAGTTTTGATAGGAAAATTGTTGGCACTAGATTGACCAATAACATGACCACTCTTGCATCTGCATTCGTCATGGACTAGTCTATGTAAGTAAAACAACATTTACTTTAAAACCACAGTCAGCTGATGCTCAAACTGCAAATGATGATGACTATCAACACACAATTTTCAGCCCTTGACCTAAGGTAGCTTTGTCAGTTGTGCTGAGAGTTCTGTTCCACAGTGCTGGCATAATGGGTGGCTGTGTTTTTATTATTGCACCATGATATTTTGTACTCAGACCGGACGGTCCTTGGTACGTTTGCACATTTCCTCTATGTTTGCCTCCTTGCACTCAGCACCGCGGTGACCCACCTGCCCACAGTTGTAGCAAGTCTTCTTTGCACCGGCGGACGGATTGGGTGTGTGGGGCAGGACATAGTGGTGAGGGTAAGGCAGCCCAGCAGCAAGGCCAGGGCCCGGAGTGGATGGGGGCCCATCACATTTGGGGTTCCACAAGCAGTGGCCGGACCACCACCACCACCACCACCACCTTGAGAGTTACCTCCTAACAGGATACTGACCTCCATATACACCAAATTCTGCATTCATTCCATTGCCCATTGGGGAAAGGCTATGTTAGGAGGTAATGAAGGGGATACAAAGCCATTCGACAAACCAGAGCTATGGGCTGGCATAAATCCTGGAAGGTGAGGAAACATGTGTGTACCCATGAGCACTGGGTAACTTGGGGCATTGTACTGTACATTACTATGTCTTGCTCCAGAACACAAATTACCAGGAGGTACTTGGGCTGTGGTGGCTGAGGCAATACTTGGGACAGGGGTGAGAGCTACAGGAGGCAAAGAACCATCTGGGTGGGAGGGTACTGTGTGAGGAGAGCCACCATTACGCCCATGACTCCCCCAGCTGATGTGGTTGGGGCAACATTACTGTCAGTAGATCGTATACAGCACTGTGGATCTTGCTGAACCAGCGGTAAGGAAACTGGTGCAGGGGGCGTAGTCTCACGGCTGGACTTGTCCCCATTCAGTGGAAGAGGATTTCTAGGAGCCACCACATGTGTCTGGGCTGACAAGGGCAAACCCTGGTACCTTATACCTGCCTGGTGAAAACCACGTAGCTTAGTGGCTGGTACTGCACATAACGGGGTTGTGCTAAGCCAGTGTGAGGAGGCATCAGGACAGGATTAGGGGGATGGTGCAATGGGGGTGGAGTTCCTTCTTCACTAGCACCTGACCCTATTAGTCCTACAGTTTCCCCTGCTTCCCCTGGTTCAGTTCCATCATTTTTACCTGTGAAAAACATAAAAATAAAATAACATCTGACTTGAGAATGAAAAGGCATTGCATTGGTGAACAATACTTTGTAAACAAATTATCCTAAGTAAAATTTTTTACCTCAAGTAAAATGGTCTTAACCCGTAGCCGACGGGTGGCATGTACGTACATGCCAAGGCTGTTGTTGACCGAAACACAGATAGCATCATATCATGCCCATTCCCACGCCATTAGCTTGTCAGACGGAGTTTGTTTTTCTCCGATAGTAGCGGCTTCATTTATATAGTAAAGATTTTAGGCAATAGCACCTATAATGAAAGTAAACCTTCAAAATTTTAATATGTTTATAGATTATAGCAAAATAAAAGCTTTTAGGTGCTAAATGTCGCTCGCAAATTACCGATCAAGCCTGACACAAACAGGGGAAACTGCTGATGTTCACCAACAATCCCGTTCTTACGTCCACTTGCCAAACATTTTTACCTGTCGGCACTGGGTTAATACTGAGTATACTAAAGGAGTAAAAGAGCTCATGTACCTAAGACAGTTAATCACAACTATTATTCAAAGCTAACAAAATGTTGTAACACCAAAAATAGGAAAAAAAGACACACATAAAAAGCTGACAACGCAAGTATCACACCAGCCTTTTCATCAAGTGAACAGCAAAATTTTGCTTTAGTTATTGCCATAATAGTTTGTCAAACAATGAGGGTGTATTTCTAGTCACTGTTATCTCAACTAATTAGTCTGAAAGAGCTGACTCTATGAAGCTAGAACTCCATCAACTTCAAGTACAATAAGAAGATACTTTTGCTTTGTCAGTTTTTCGAAATTTATTCTGAACAAAACAAAATTTGTTACAGCTCTCATTACCCAGGATCATTTAGCAACAAGAAAATGTTGCATTTGTTCTAATAAAGAGAATAAATAACAAAGAATACAAAAGAGGACCTAAGATCTGAAGCTTAGACAAAGTTGGGGAAACACAAACACACTTGTTAAATATTTATCTTCATTACTATAAGGCTTGTTATTCACATACTAAAATGAATGTCTTAGTTACAAACTCCTGATGCAAAACATCCCAGTTTAACATTATGTAACTACATCATTAGAAAATAAATAAAATAAAATACACACATTCTTCCTGCATCACAGAAAAACTAAAATGTAACAATGTGTTACCTATTAAATATTTCAATAACATTTTATATTTTCTAAATCAATTAAGTGGGATATATGCACTTTCAGGGCTTACTTTTACAAATTCTATTTTCATCAATAGTACTGTAAACAATGCAAAAACCACGTCCTAAATATACAGCTCTTTGTCAAAGATGAACAGGATTACCTTATACATACTTCATACTTCTTTACACTCACTCAAAGCACAAAAAAATTTATTTAATAACAACTTCATTATAGCATAAATGTGTAAAACTTACCTCGTTTATCTGTGTCACGTGTATGATCTGGACTAGGTGTCTGTGGTGGGGATGAATACTGCGAGGATGAAGGAGAAGAGTCCGACGACCTTGTGCCACCTTTGATTGGACCGTGGCCCCTCTGCCCAACCTTGTTGAATCCTCGTACACTGCCACTGCTAATGCTACTGCTGCTGCTGCTACTTCCACCTCTACTGCCACCCCAGTGCCCACATGTCCTCCTGGTTGATGTGTGGGCTTCATGTGGGCTACATGGCCCATTGGCTGCATATGTGATATATAAACAGGTCTATGGGGATGCTGGGCAGCATAAGACCCTGGAGGAACATAGGTATGCGAGCCTGCAGGGCCCCCTAGTAGTGGGTACAAGTAGGTGGTAGGATATGAACTTCCTGGAGGTACCATTGGCATCAACCCTCCATTAGTGGGTGGGGGAACACCCATGTTCCCAGAGGATGTATAAACAGGCATGTTCATTTATTGGCTACAGTATAAGCTACAGTTGCTGCAGAAGTATAGGCAGGAAGCGGCATTTCCCAGAGGAGGTGTGCATGCCTACCGGGTTGCTGTAACCAGTTATACTCCAGGCAAGGATGGGGTGGGTCCTGCAATACTACAACTGGCAGCTGCACCACTCTTTACACCTGGTCCATTGTTGCTAGTGTAGAAGGCCTGAAAAGAAAAGATTTATATATTTTACAGTTTAGGTGTTATATCAATCAGTCTTAAACAATAAGAATACCTTTAGCACATCCATAAACATAACTTCAAACCAGTGAAATAATGGAATATATATATATATATATATATATATTATATATATATATATTATATATATATATATATATATATACCCCCCCACCACCCTAACCACACATGTTTCTGAAATATGATGCAAACAAATAATGAGTAGTATGTTTGGGTAGTTAATGTCATTCATTTTAGGTAAAAATATCTAAATTACAAAAGATTGAGTAACTGACATAACACTTAAACTGAAATGAATAACCGTTAGGAAAAGCTTTCCTTATGAATGGAAATAAAAGATACAGAAGGGTACACAGGGATAAGAGAAAAGGAAAAAGAGAAGCACAGGCAAAGAGGGAAGAGGAAGATTTGGGCAATTGGGTAGAAAGGGAGAATATATGGAAGAAATGGAAGGAGGAAGAGGAAAAGGAAGAGAAAGTTAATGAGGAGTTAGAGGTTGGAGAACAATATGAGATAACTGAAAGAGGACTGGGAATGGCAAATAAAGGAGGAAAAGGACAAAAGGCAGATAGATGGAAGATTATTTAAAACTAGAGGTGACGGCCATGAATGCATGATGTAAAGAAGAGGCAGGACCTTAGTTAAACCATTATATGAGGATACACTAAGAGTATGACAAAAAGTCCTCATTATACAAATGTTAGTAAAACAAAACTGGAAAGCCTGGCATTCAAGCAATCACATTTCTGACCTGCTGGGATCCATTACTGATATTGAGCCCATTGCTTGTGCTTGGAGTAGCTGGTTCTCGCGAAGGTGTGCGGGGAGGAACGCACAGTGGAGGTGGGGGTGTTCTAAGCTGGCCATGCTGAGGCTGAGTAGCTATGTGGTGTTGACTGGAGCCACCTGATAGTGGTGGAGTCTTCAGCTGGATGCACGGAGGTGGAGTTGTCATGTAGTGAGGAACACAGTTAGTAGCTGAGACAGAAGTAGGCACAGCAGATGTGGGATGAGAGGTAGTAGAAGGTATGGCAGAGCTACAGTTTGAATGAGAACTCTGCACGTTCATAGCTGCAGTGATTACAGGTGTAGCGGAATTTCCGCTACATGAAAAAATGGTGGTGGTTGTGAAACACTGGGTAATTTCTGACTTGGTGGAATTGTGACTGTATGACATTGAGTGACTTGTGTTGCTGCAACTGGAGAGGCAGATGTGCTTGTTGTTGCAGCAATGCTACCAAGAGAAACAGCTGGGGATATAAGGCTGGCACATGTGATAGTTACCACAGTAACAGCACCAGAGGTGGTGGTGCTCAGGGCAGATGATGGCACTTCAGATTCCAGGGAAGAGGAGGAGGAGGAGGAAGAAGAAGAAGAAGAAAAAGAAGAAGAAGAAGAAGAAAGAAGAAGAAGAAGAAGAAGAAGAAGAAGAAGAAGAAGAAGAAGAAGAAGAAGAGGAGGAGGAGGGAGGAGGAAGAGGAGGAGGAAGAAGAGGAGGAAGAAGTTGAGGAGGGGAAGAGGAAGAGATAGTGGTGGTGGTGGTAGTGGTTGGAGTTGGGGTCAGGGTGGTGTTAGGGGGAGAGCTGTTCTGTCGATCTGATGTTCCATTTACAGGATGTTCCATATTTGTGTTTTGATAAGTTTTTCCATGATTTTGTGTTTGGCTCTGCAGTGCTGAGTGTGTGGCATTTGATGTGTGTGTTGTGTGCACACTGTGTGTACTGTTGGAAGTGATGGTGGTGATAGGAGGATTGTGCACTGAACTGGCTTGACTTTGTAAACTGCTCTGGTTAACATTAGGCATAATTTGATTTTGAGTGGCATTATCTGACTGACTGAAAGATGTATGGTTTGCCTGGGGTAATGAGTGCGCATGTGGGGTAGCTGGTGGACTGGTAAAGCCATTTGGACAGTGGTAATTAGGGGATTCTAAACCAGCCAGGACACGCCGTAGCTTTGTTAGGGCACTTTTTGTCAGCCCTAAATCTAGGAGTTCACGGTCTGTCATCCGTTTTAACTGAAAAATGCACAACAGGAAAAAGAGTTAGTGCACATCTGCTGAATGAGCGTAGTTAATTACCCTATATTGTTTAATCAAATAGTAATGCAAGCCTTATATCTTATAATGAGATGGTCCAAACAAGTGACTTACCTTGTCAACTGAATATTCAGACAGGCGCTGATAATACTTGTTCAATTTCTCATTCTTGCAAAACTCATAGTTGAGGCAATTGTTATTATTAACAGCAGAATTTTCTGTGTTAGAAGTATTCATAACAGAACTAGAACTTGCTGTTGACAGTGGTGGTCTTATCCCTGAACTGTTACCAATGGTGTGGACAATTTTCTCTTGGACGACTGGTGATGATGTGTTTCTTGTTGTGGTGGCAGTGGTGGAAGTAGAAGTTAGGGACGTTGTTGCTCCACTTATTGTATGGCTGCTATTGGTCTTGAATGACGAAGAGCTAGCTATGACAGTAGAGGTGGTCTGAGATTTGCAAGTTGTGGTGGCACCTGATGTGGGACAGGGACTCTGGCTGTTCTGTCTATTAACACTTCTCACGCTAGACGTTGGCATAGTCACAACACACGGGGAAGAGGTAGATGGAGTTGTTGACGTTGACATGCTTGTCGACCATCTAGAGGAAGAACTCTTGCAATGCCCATTACTGCTGCACACTGAGGGTGAGGTCTGGACTACACTGCGATTAGCAGATGGACTATTCTGACTTCCAACGCCCACTCCAGTATCCACCGTGGAAGCTACAGGTAATCTTGTCCGTGATCCAGAGCGATCCGCTTGTCTCTGTGGCCGGTTGCCAGCTGCAGGAGGTTTTCCACGGTGAGTCTGAGCTGTAGAAATGGTCCCAGAATGTGTGACAGGACTACTGTTGCCAGCCATTGCTGGAGAAGTGGTCTGTGTGACACATGGTGAGTATTTGTGAGCTATCCTTGGACTGGAGTGAATAGACAACACGGCACACTTGGAAGTGGTCGTGGTTGAGGATGTAATAGTAAGAGGTAAATTAGCTACTGTTGTTGTAGTAGTGGTAGTGGTGGTGGTTGCAGGCCTTGACCAGGGTGACGAGGCACGACTTGGACTGAGGGACTGAAGAGGGGAGGCATAAGGTGAAGACTGAGCAGAGCTGAGAGGAGAGCCTGCAGCTGGTGGGCCGGCATGGGTCGTGCTTATGGCACCATCCTCACTGCTTGAGCCTTCAGAAGGTGCCCCCCTTGCCCCGGGTATAGAGGCAGGTAAGGCATCCACCACCTGAGGGTAAGTATAGTAGTGGAAGCTGCTCTGATGGTTGCACTGATATCCTGGATTCATGGTTAACAGGTTGTTGTTTAGGGCAACTGAAATGAAAATTATACATTCATAAATGTCTTTATCTATACAGATAACAATGTCTTTATAGTCATGAGTAAATATATCAAAACCATATAAGACCTCTATGAATTTCTAGAATATATCAATCTGGATTTCATTCAGAATCTTTTAATAAAAAGAAAATAATAATGTAACCACTAGAATTACAAAATGAAAACAAGTAAATAGACCTACCAAAACTCTGCTGATCAAAGATACTGGAATTGTAAATATAGGTGGTAGGCACAGTTCCCCCTTCATTATATAGCTCACTAGATTCTCCACTGCCACTACTGCAGGCATCCTGAAAGGGAAATAAGACTGATTTATCAACATTCTCATAACACCTATGATCCAGATAACATGACCATAGCATTTTGAAAAAATCTGGCTTAAAGGGCTGGTGACGTAAACATGCTGCCATGGAAAATATTAACTAAAAGCCGGAGTGACAAGGACTCCCTACAAAGCTCTCAGAGGTAATCAAAGCACCTGATCCAAAGGATGAGAGAGAGAGAGAGAGAGAGAGAGAGAGAGAGAGAGAGAGAGAGAGAGAGAGAGAGAGAGAGAGAGAGAGAGAGAGAGAGAGAGAGAGAGAGAGAGAGAGAGATAAAGAGAGAGAGATAAAGAGAGAGAGAGAAGAGAGAGAGAAAGAGAGAGAGATAAAGAGAGAGAGATAAAGAGAGAGAGAAAGAGAGAGAGAAAGAGAGAGAGAGAGAGAGAAGAGAGAGAGAGAGAGAGAGAGAGAGAGAGAGAGAGAGAGAGAGAGAGAGAGAGAGAGAGAGAGAGAGAGAGAGAGAGAAAGAGAGAGAGAGAAAGAGATAAAGAGAGAGATAAAGAGAGAGAGAAAGAGAGAAAGAGAGAAAGAGAGAGAGAGAGAGAGAGAGAGAGAGAGAGAGAGAGAGAGAGAGAGAGAGAGAGAGAGAGAGAGAGAGAGAGAGAGAGAGAGAGAGAGTGAGAGAGAAAGGGTGGGAGAGAGAGAGAGAGAGAGAGAGAGAGAGAGAGAGAGAGAGAGAGAGAGAGAGAGAGAGAGAGAGAGAGAGAGGAGAGAGAAGAAGAGAGAGAGAGAGAAAGAGATAAAGAGAGAGATAAAGAGAGAGATAAGAGAGAGAGAAAGAGAGAAAGAGAGAGAAGAGAGAGAGAGAGAGAGAGAGAGAGAGAGAGAGAGAGAGAGAGAGAGAGAGAGAGAGAGAGAGAGAGAGAGAGAGAGAGAGAAGAGAGAGAGTGAGAGAGAAAGGGTGGAGAAGAGAGAGAGAGAGAGACAAGAGAGAGGAGAGAGAGAGAGAGAGAGAGAGAGAGAGAGTGAGAGAGAGTGTAGAGAGAGAGAGACAGAGTGTAGAGAGAGAGAGACAGAGTGTAGAGAGAGAGAGAGAGAGAGAGAGAGAAGAGAGAGAGAGAAGGAGAGAGAGAAAGAGAGAGAGAAGAGAGAGAGAGAGAGAGAGAGAGTGTAGAGAGAGAGAGAGAGAGAGTGTAGAGAGAGAGAGAGAGAGAGTGTAGAGAGAGAGAGAGAGAGAGTGTAGAGAGAGAGAGAGAGAGAGTGTAAGAGAGAGAGGAGAGAGAGAGAGAGAGAGAGAGAGAGACAGAGAGAGAGAGAGA